ACAATAAAAATCATTGAAACCCTTTTAATTATGCCTCATTAGAACACAACAAACAATTGACTTTGTTATTCTTATTATCAAGGGACATATTAGTTTTAATGTATTTAGGACCAAAGCTTTTTGACATGGCGTGCAATTATTGTGCTATAGATCGTATTTGTATCATAGAGATTGCTTAAAATATTGTTTCTGGGTTAGTGATGGTATTGAGAAAAGGTTTTGTACTGATGAACTTACTAGGATTTTTAATTGTGCTATAAATATATGAAAAGACAGGCAGACATAGCTCAATCGATCTATATAGCCAGCTAGATAAATATCTAGGTAGAAAGACTGTAGATAGAATAAAGATAGATATGATTATATTAAGAAAGAAAAGAAAGAAAAAAGAGGCAGTATATGATTGCATTTCTCTGCTTTGTGTTTATAAATGCTTACATTTACCTTTCCATATAGACATTTATATTGAGTACTTGATATTTTACAAGCATACGCGAAATAAGATATACGTTCTCAATATTCATATCAGCTTCAGTTCGAATCTTAATCAGTGACGAAAATAAAAATACGAACTCCACCTCCTCCCAAAAAAGCAAAAGAATAAATGTATCAGTGTGCTGTAGATCTTTTAGATCTCTGACACCCACACGTTTTATTAATGTAAGTATAAAATCGCAGAAGAAAAGGAGGAGTTCCGGGAGGTTAGAGAGGAGGACAACAAGATGAAACAAACAAATGAAAAGGTGAGAAGAGGTGGTGGCCGGGTTTATACCTGGTTTATACCCAGGATGAGTCACCTTCATTCACCTATTCAGATCTTGTCCCATTCATTATCTTCTTTTCAGGAGCGTCATTTGCTGATCACGTGGTGTGTCGAAAACGCACAACGACACAAGTTCGTTTTTTTTGTCTCTTCCAACATCTTTGATATATGATATTAGCACTGTTTCTAATTTGGTTATTATGGCGAAAATATTCTTTCGTGATAAACTTTTTTAGCTTTTATTTTCTTCGGGATTCCTTGTCACTTTTTCTTTCCTTGTTCAGCCAGTGTTTCGTCTTTGCGTGTTGGCGTTGTGTACGCATGCTCGATCTTTCTTTCCGTTCCATTTTATTCGGCTATTTTTATTTATTTATTTTTTTCGCTTGATTCATATTTTTTCTTTCTGCATCCTTTAATATCTAGTTCGTTTTTGTTGTTAAAACCTTTTCTTCTATTCATTTTTTAACCAATATTTTTCCATTTTGTTTTCTGGGTCGTTCTGTTTTTTCATTCTATAACATTTCTCTCTCTCTCTCTCTCTCTTTCTCTCTCTCTCTCTTATTGTCTGTTTGCCTGTCTTTTACTTTTTTTTTTACGTTTCACTTTATCACCTTAAATTCGTTATCTTTCTTCCAAAGTCAGAAAATTACATTTTGTTAAGTTTAACTTTTAATTTCCAGCCTCTCTATTTTTAGTAAATAAATTTATAAAATATATTCTAAATTCTTAACAAATTCTAAAATTAGTATTTTTATGTTTGAATGTTTGAAATGTTGATTTTGCGAAGTTAGTCTACACGATAATATTTCAGCACTCTGTCATCATACTTATTATAAAACCCAGGTTTTGTGTGTGTGTGTGTGTGTGTGTACGTTTATATATTGGATCGGATTTCCTATATTTTTCAACCGATTTCAACAAAACTTCACAGTAAAATTACCTTGCGGTGGTTCTGACAGCGTCAAAAATTGGAAAAAACAATTGTTTTTGCACGAAATCAATTTGAAAATACGATTAAGAGGCATCGCAGTCGCCAGAATGAAAGGGGGACAACTCATATCGAGTTATACTTATTATAAAACCCAGGTTGTGTGTGTGTTCGTTTATATATGGGATCGGATTTCCTACATTTTTCAACTGATTTCAACAAAACTTCACTTTTTTTTTGGCAGGTAGTGTTTCTTATTGTCTTGCACACTTTTTTCTTTATTTTTACATTCAGAATGATTTAAAAATTCCATTTACAAGACAATTGTTTCTAATAAAATTCTATTCAATCGGTAGACTCATAACGATTGAAAACAATCTTTTTGTTTGAGTTTGGGTTTGACCAATTCGTAACCCCCCCCAAAAAAAAACAACAACAAAAAAAAACCCAATCTAATTACGACATGCGTGTCCGTCAAGCTTAAACAATAATCTTTGTCAATTTTATTTTTCAGTCTTTATGATGGTCGATATTTGATCTATCTCTTACTGTTACATCCCCGGGCAACGCCGGGCTCTACTGCTAGTTATATATATATATATATATATATATATATTAATAAAATAAGAAAGAACAGTAGTTACTTAATTTTTAAGTGCAGACAATCTTAATATTTTGAGTTGTTAAGGTTAAAGAAAATTCAGACTATTTTGATCAGGGGTAGTTGGGTTTTAATTTCCCTAGACAACTTATGTACCAAATATATGATACTTACAAAGTCAGGTTAAGTTTTGGTGGGGCGGGGGTGCCTGCTCACAAACATAGACATCCGTTATTCAGCGTGTCGTTTGGGTTTTCAATGACAAATTTTTTTGGCATTTTTACGCTTATAAGTAAATTTCTTAAAAAGTTATTCCTAACATCGCTTGACAATGGAACGGAACTTTGTATTTTAAGTTTAATTTTTATAATTAAATTTACAACTTTAGCTTCAATTTTGAAACATAGAAATTTCTGTGTCGCGATGGAATCATATTTTTAAAAAAGAAAATAATAATTACACATACACACACACACACACACACACACACACACACATATATATATATATATATATATAATTTTATTGCTTGAACGTTATTTTTTAAAATGAAATCTGTAGGATTAATTTACTTTGTTCAGATTATTGCCCTCATTTTCGTTTCCATATTCCCGACATTTCGGGCGTTGTACGCTCCAGCCTTCTTCAGGTGACTGGAATTTCGAACCCCTTTATTTCGTCCACAGAGGTAGAGGGCAAACGGAGATCACCACACCCTGTGGGATGAGGTTGAAATAATAGACAGAGAGCATCACTGAAAAATACGAAAACTTAAGGAATCTCCCAAACCTTCTAAGTCAGCCAATCATAGACATGAATACAATATGGCAACCCGTAATACGGAGCGTTAGAGAAAAACAATAATAACAATAAAATTATAATATAAAAAAATCTGTTACTGATGTCTGTGTATATATATATATATATATATATATATATATATGGGTAGTAACGTTTCTTTTATACATGTTTCAGTGAATGCGACAGATAACAAGTTTATCAAGATTATTTTAAAAAAAGATTAGCATCAAGATTATTTCAAAATTAATATAACTACCTTATATTTCGGCGTATAAGGTGACATTTAGATAAGACGAGGTAAAAAAATGAAGCAAATTTTCATGAATTTATCCTATACCTGTAGTATAAGATGACTGCTTATTGATTATATAAAGATGATGTTATTGGAAATGTTGTTACTTACTGTATCCTTAGAAATTGAAAATAAACAAAATAACAAAACCGATTCTATATAATGATTTTCCTACAAACGTCTTCTGAAAAGGAAACCATTTTGTTTACGTTTCATCACGTGATCTCTTGAGAATACTTATTATTTTAATGGCAAAATGTAATGTTTTTTCTAAATAAACTCTTGTAATTAAACAGGCAAAAGATTTTATTTTAAATAGAAAAATTGCTGTTTAGCATGGTATTTTTTTAATTATATTTTTTAAATCAATTTAATTTCCTTTAGAAACTGGAATATATAAAATGAATCAGTATTTTGAAGTTCTTTTAAGCTTCCTGTTTGGTAGCATTTTAAGCGGATTGAATTATAATGTTTACAATATGTGTTTTATGGTGAATGGCTCTTGACATGCCACACATATCTGGGAACAACAGCATATAAGAAGTGGTTCCAGTCTCCTGAAAACTTTCCGATCAGAGGCCTTGATTTCGGATGTAGCTTTATTGTCATATCCAAGACGGTGTTGATATGGGTTATTGTCGAACAGCTCAACGTCTACAATCAAACATGTAGTGTACCAGGTGATCAAATACAATTCCTACATGATTCGAAGGAGGTGTTCATGTCAGACAAGACCCGGAAGAACATTGATATCCAATCAAAGAGTTTTCTCAGGCACTTTCTGAAGCATTCCATTCGACCAAGACTAAGAGAAACGAACAGGAATGACAGACATCTCACTGCCGACCCACGATGATTTCACCAAATTCTTGTCTGGTGGAAAATTAACTGAGTTATCGTACATCTACTCGGAATGTTTTCAGTTTCTCTCTTGGTGTAACCTGATTTTATGTAGAGAAAAACTGAATTGACATTTTGGAACACTTAATTCTTGTGTCCAGAAGTTCGATAGACATACTGGGATCGCGCTAAAAATTTACTGAAAAGGAATGCAGGCTATTTAAAAATGTATTTACCAAATATTTGACAAATAAACAGTTCCATAACAAGTCATCGTTATTTTCATTTCATTTATATTTTCAATGACTATGTATTTGAGAACTTATACTTTTCGACCGCAATAAAAGAGATATTCTATACGCCACGTTGCTTCAGGATATAGATAATCATGGCTCTTTCTAACTTGTGTGGCTTTTAGCAGTTTTTCTCTGTTCCACCATTCATTCACACAAGCTCGTCATGGTTGCTGCCTTTCTCCATCTTTCTTGCCCGCAATATACCTGTGAGTCACTGAAATTGAAAAAAAAAGACGGTTGAAATTTCTGGGACACATTATGAAGAAGGACGGTTTTGAAATTTTAATACACATAAGGCATATTGCTGGTAAAAGAGGTAAAGGAAAACAGCGAATAATCAACGTAATGTGTTTTGGAATATTTAGCAGAGACGAGACGAGGGATAGTAAAGAATCAAGCGATGTTTAGTGCTATAAGGAATAAGAAGTTGTGGAGAGCTGTGATCACCCATGTCCTAGATTGGCACAGCACATAAAGGATTATAAAGCTGCGTTTTTGCAAATATAGTTTGGCCAACCTTTGACGTATGTGTATGAGGAATATTCCTGAGGGAAACGATAGTGAAAGTCTACTTTTAGATTCGCCGTGAGTGCTCCATTAATGTGTCTTTGTATCAGGTTAATCTGAGGAAGCGTCCTAAGGGAGGACAATAAGCTAATCCAGACGATGTCATTTCTGAAACATGAAAAAAAAAAAAGAAAGAAAGAAAATGAATTTAAATGAAGGAATGGTTGAGAACGAAAGCTGAAAGATGATGAGAGTTGATGAATGAGAAAGAAAGAAAGAAAGAAAGAAAGAAAGAAAGAAAGAAAGAAAGATTTGTAAAAAGAGTAACGGGTATTCAGAACGCGTGACCGGTTGACAATGACTATCTCGGCAAGTGTCCCAGGTGACCAGAGATTTAGGTACGAGGTTTGTAAAGATAAAACTGGATGATTGGCTGTCATGTATAAAGGTATTTTGAAAAGAAAAGAAAAATAGTTACCGTGAGCTGAGTCAAATGTGTGGCCCCTTACTTCAAATAGCGTGACAAACATCTCAGCTACACCATATAAACAAGATAACAAGTTAATGGAAATTTAATAACTAGGCTGTTATATTTTTATTTCTCTGACAATGATGTTCACTCTGTACAAGACCCGAAAGCCACTCGAGGTAGAGAGTTTCAGAGTAAGAGGCGCAGATTATGCGGATATGTGGGGAAGATAACGGTTAATCCTAGACTTGAACAGGGTTAACCGTTATCCCTGATCACTACAATCTTTAAGATTGTAGTGATCTGGGAAGCATCTTCTTGGAAGTCGGTTCCACAAACTAAGAGGTAAGGAGCACAGTTTATGAGGATATGTTGGGAAGATAACGGTTAACCCTAGACTTGAACAGGTTAAGATTGTAGTGATCGGGGAAGCATCCTCTTGGGAGTCGGTTCCACAAAGTAAGAGGTAAGAATCACAGTTTATGAGGATAACTGTTAACCCTAGACTTGAACAGGTTAAGATTGAACAGAGACGCATCGATTTGGGAGTTGATTCCACAAAGCAACGGCATCGGGAAATGATAGTAGTAATAATCATTAATAGTAATACTCTATCGCTCTCTGTACTCGCCATCTGTTTGTAGTAATCACTTGTCGGATTTTGGACAGAATCAATTTCATGTTGAAACCTGGTGCTCCAGATTATAGCAGAGCTGAGCAAATGAGAGAATTTTGAAAAACTGAAGGTAAGATTCTGAAACGAAGATGGTATAGTAACAGACCTTTTGAAAGTTGCAGGAAAAATCCACAACTGATTATCCACTGTATAAAGAAAAGCCGTGGTTAAAACCAATGGCAATTTTATTGAATAAATGTGCTCTTTAGTATTTCAAGATATTTTTGTGTATTTTTGTTAAATATACCTGTTAAAATAAGATACGCAGATATTTCTGCGTAATTTAGGCGACAATTTACCCATTGCGTGTATATATATCTTGAAAAGATTTTTATCCGTTATTTTTTATTACCATAAACGTTATTTTTGGTGGATAATCGTATTTGAGTTATTCGCCATGATTATTTTCTCCTTTTTTTAAAGACTGAAATTAATAACAATCGGCCTTACTGAAGAAAAATTGTTCGTTTCTGACAGGAATCGAACCTGTACCTCTTTTTTTCCATTGGAGAAATCCTTTTTTTTTGGCTAAAGCGTGCCGATACCAGTTTGCCTACGGAGACTAGCCTGATAGAGAATGATTTGAATTACCTATTTAAAGAAACATCATATAGTTTAACCAACTGTACACGAAAAGCGCAAAAGCAAAGGTAAACTTTACACTCATACACAAACACTTTTGCCCATCAAATACTCTCAATAACATATTCAGCAAATGCATTAATCAGCAATAATCAGTTGCACCAAGAACATCACACAAATAATAAAAAAAACATTTGCTAGTCAGGTTCTCAACCTCAACACAAAAGGCTACATCGAGTGCCTTGTTGAGATAAGGCTGCCCTGGGTCAAGAGGGTGGCTGCTGGACGACCCTATGTCTGACAACAGGACTGTGCACCATGCCACACAAACAGGAGAACATAGTGATGGCTGTCAGACAATTTCTGCAACTACATCACACCTAACATCTGACCACCTAACTCCGCAGACTACAACCCCACTTCATTATTATGTGTGTGGCGTAGTTGATCGAGAGACCAACAAAACTTCTTGTAACACCAAAGATGAACTGAAGACAAGGATTATGGCATAATTCACCAACAAGGAGACCACCCAGAAGAGATGCAGGAGATTCCGAAGTCGTCTGGACACAAATAATAAAAAAAAACCATTAAAATAAATAAATAAATAAATAAAAACAAAACAATAAACAACCCACAAAAAATCAAACCCATATGTAACTGCAGAGCAAAGAGCGAATGTTCCTTAAACGGCAATTACTTGCAAAATAATGTGAAATCATTAGATAAAGAATAAAAATTATACATAGGAGTAACTGAAGGACAATGAAAACCGAGAAACTACGCACACAAAACATTTTACAAATAGCAAATACCCGAACAGCACAATGCTTTCTAAACATATATGGGAAATTAAAAGACAAAACCAAATCACACCAAAACTAAGGAAAATAGCATTAGCCTAAAAGAATAATTCGAAAGACTGTATGGAGAAGAACGCAGCCATAATTACATTCTTAAACCAACACTAAATAAACGATTAGAACTCTTCTCAAAATCTAAATACGAAAATAAATTTTTACTATGTTGATTAAAATCGAAAACTAAAAACGAATACGAAAAAAATAAGTAAAATAAATTAAAAATCTAAATCAATAAATAAGTAAAAAAAAAAAAAGAAACTACGAATATACAGATAAACATTAGTAAACGTAAGAATAACAATCAACAACGAATAATAAAGAAATCAATAATAAATAAGGAGTAAAACAGTTAATAAAAAAGTTTATAAACAACACTATAAAATAGCTGCAAATAACTGCATTCGGATCCACCATTATGTCTTCTATAATTTGAAATATAACCGTTACTGCGCACTCAGTAATCATTAGAATAATACACTATACCTTCTACCCAAAATGCATTATTGTCCAGCATATATTTAGTTGAGTCAAAACACAACACACTCAGCGATTGCATTTAAGGATGAAACAGAATGTCACCGTTGGGTGTTGACTGCAATGCCCTCTTTTATATCTACATATGCTCTAACCCTGATATTGAGCAATTTAACCCATAAATATAGCATACTTTAAAACTATATTCTTATCATCATATATATATATATATATATATATATATATATGATGTCTTTTCGTTGTGTGTAATAAAAGTTATAAAGAAAATTTTGTAATCGAGTTAAATACAGGTGCTCTTCAATTTGCAAACGTCCACGTTACGTCTGTCAGCGATAACAATAAAGCTGTCGGTAAAACGAGGCTCATAATACTGTCGGTTTGGACGTTCCACTATGAAGAAGTAAACGCGGTATTGGTGGAGCTGTCTGCTTGCTAGAAACGAAATGCATTATTGGTCCTCTGTGATGACACAATTAGTAGTTGGTTGTTCTCTTTCACAAATACGGACACCTCAGATCGGAGTTTTATTTTATTAAAAAGAAAGTGTCACCGTCGTTTGCTAAAGAATGACTTCTTTTCTTAGAATATCCGCTACATTTAAATTATTACATAAAGACGCAATTTTAATAAATGAATAATAGTTTTTCTGTTCACGTAGCAAGCAGCAGTAATGCAAATTGTTCAGAGCTAGGATCAATCCTTCTGAAAAGTATAAAGCAATGAAGCAATGTGCTAGAAAATTATTCACTAAACTTTATTGCTGAGTGAAGATTGCAAATATTCATAACGGAAATTTTATATCAACCGAAAGAGTAGAAAAAAAAAACAAACCTTTTTGTGAATAAATATATATTTTATCTACAGTATTTCCATTCGGAATATTGTCCTCATCTTTGTTGTTGTTATCACAACGTTTCAACCGATGTACTCTTCGGTGTTAGCCTGATCGATATACACCTTCATAAGCTGTATATCGATCAGGGTGTAGAAAATAGAACATTGTATATTTAATGTCATTCATGCAGAATAAAACAAACTTGTATATTTTTTATATCTTGTTGAATAGAGTAAAAAAAGATTAATGCTTTAGTTCGTTTAATCAAATGTGATTTGAACAAAAAATGTCTATGTGTTCGCTGTCTTTCAACAGAGTAGTAGAGTAATGTCTGTTTCTTTTGTTTTTGTGTATCCGCCGAGTAGGTAGAAAGGAAAAAGGGGCGATCAATTTAAGTTGAAAAAGAGAGTGTGAATGAGAAATAAAAGATAAGAGGAAAATGTACTTATCGAGTTGAATTGTTTTGGAGTCAGTTGTAAATTTGTTGTTGTTGTTTTTTCCTTTCCTACCTCACTTTCTGCTCTTAGTGTCTGGTTGAGTCAGTGACGGACCTGACTGTCAGTCTTCTGTCCTCTATGATCTCTGCGCCCTTCTGACTGGTGATTGACTTGAGTCTCTCTATTTATAGCTGACTTTTTTTTTTACACTGGATCGTTATCTTTTTTTAGTTTAGCAAATCGCCTCCTTTCATGGGTCAGAAAATTAATTTCACACCTTATTGCGAAATCTGTTTTTCGTCGTTTTGATCCTATTTTGCGGGTGTGCAAATCTACTTTGTGTTTTTCAGTTATTAGTTGGAATGATATAGGATTTGTATCCTATGAGGGTAACCAATAATGATATAGTAAGTGTGAGTTCAATCCCTGGTCCAGGTAGTGTGCACTTGGACTCATTGGAAACACAGTGTGTAGTAAATGAGCAGGACTAAAATAAGAACTAGACGAGATATCTCTAGACAGGGGGCAATGGAATGGGAACAGTTACTCCTGTAAATGATATAAAGTGTTCAGTTCGGAATTCCCTGCAGGTTGCCCGAGCCGATATAGACCTGTTGGAAGTTGAAGAGCACAATGGCCAAATTGTTGTCATAACAACAACAAAGATGAAGACAATAGTTTGAATGTAAATAGTGTAAATAATGATAAATTCAAACAGAAAACATATTTTGTTTGAATTTTCTTAAGCAACATCAGTACTAACAATTACAATAATATTAATACCGTTATTTTTAACATTTGCGCTGAGAAACACACAACCTGTTCGTAAGTCGGGTCGCACCAATATCTAAACATGATTAATGTTTTGACTCATCGCATTTTTTTTCTTGTTTTGTTTACTCTGACAAACATTTTTTTGTGGTAGATCTTCAGTTGGCGACATTTGTTGCTTGAAGTCGGAACAATAGCCACATGAATCACAAGAGCAAACATTGATTTCAAACTCAATTTTTTTCGATAACAGCCGACTGTGTCAGACATGTCAAACTTTATTGACATTGGACTTAAAAAAATTATGATTTT